GAGATCAAAGGATCCCTGGAGCTCACCGGCCAGGCAGTCTTGCCTACTTGGTAAGTTCCCAGTCAGTAAGAGACATAGTCTCAAAGGCGGTAGACATCATTTCTGGGGAGTGACAGCTCTTACCTACACACACACACACACACACACACACACACACACACACATACACACACACACACACACACACACACACACACACAGAGATAGAGAGAGAGAGGAAACCATCCTTGAAGACCTGCTTGGTGCCAGGCTGTCATAAAGACTTCCTCTGTCTCTCTCCATCACTCTCTGCCCCATGGTTTGCCATGCCTCTGCCACATGCTTTCTCCACCATGACATCTGTCCTCACTGTGGACTGGGATCATCAGAACCAGGAACCATGGATTGAACTCTCTGGAATCATAAGCTGAAAGACATCTTTTCCCCCTTAAGTTACATCAGATGCTTTGCCATAGTGACAAAAGGCTAATGCACCATTCTGTGTGTGAATTACCACCATACTTTGCAGATAAAAGACGAGGTGAGTGATTGACTTCTGTCCCATAAGGGGTCAGCTGTGAACTACAAACTCATCCAGGAGACACGGGCCCCATCCCCTGCCACCCTAGTGCAACAGCTCACTTGTTCCTTGTGAGAAGTGCTGGGCTCTCCAATGAGTCAGTGGCCAGAGCTGGTCTGCTCACAGCAATGCCAGCTCAGCCCCTTCTCCAATATAGGAGCCTCTTCTCAGGCAGACTAGACTTCCTCTAATTGGCTCACAGCCCCTGATTAGCTTCCTTGAGGCACAGACTTGAGACAGGGAAAATAAATGATTCCTTGGCCTGGAATAGAGTCTCCTTTTGAAAGGAAGAGAAGGAAATCAGTAGGAGGGACATTCCCCCTACTTCTCCCAGAGCCGCTGGGATCACCACCTGTGTCGTTTGCCACTGCAATTATTTGGGCTAACAAAATGGTACTATCCATCAATCCAGTTCGACTGCTCTGCCCTCAAACAGAAGCCGTCCCATTCATCAGAATGGAGGCCCTCCACTGGGTCTACAGTGCCATTAAACTATCAACAGGCGATCGCTAAGGCGAAGCAAAATAAAAAACAACTGTTAACTGAATGGAAATAATTTTTCTTTTTTTCCCAAACATCCTGGCCAGCAGAGTCCTTTGTCTGGCTGTCAGCAGAGCCAACGTGGGCTGGGTCTCAGATCTTTGTGTTTCCATGCAGTCTGTGTTTGAGAGGCCAACAGAAACACTTGCAATGCAATGGCTGAGCCCAGGTAAGCGGGTTTCTCTCTCAGCAGGGCAAGCTGCTTGACGATAAAGAGGGGGAAATGCGTATGCATTTGTGTGATAAAGCAGGCTTAATGATTCCCGAGGGGAAGGAACCTGGGAGCCATGCAGTCGCAACTTAGGTTCAAAACGGATCCACGCAGGGCCAATTAACGTGCAAATATGTATGTGCTGAACCTGCACTCCATCCGTCATGTGCGCGTGGAAATTGGGCCATTTATCTGTTATATTATGTATGTGACATCTTAGTTTGGTTCTTACAGGCTGCTTGGGGACAAAGAGGCCATGTGCTCTGCAGCTAGCAGAGGGAATTTAAGATAAATTCTTCAGCTGTCGTCAACGGTGCAAGGCACAGAATTCAGTTGGAAGATAAAGCTTTTCCGTCGGCAGGGTTTTAATGTCTCTCCATGGCCCGTGTGGTGTCTTATTAAAACTGTGTGTGGTGAGGGAGGGTGGCATATGCCGTGAGGAGTTATTGGCACAGACAGCTTGCTGTCATGTTTCCTGAGTCCGGATTTAGCAAACGTTATTCACATATTCGCTGTCAATCTGCAGAGAGAACAGAGAGCTGGCGAAGCCATTCACACTCTCTTCTGCGGGCTTGTAATTCTTTTTGTTTGCCCTTAACCCACGTCTCTGCCACAGGTAAAGTCTGTTCTGCTCAAATTACAACTGTTTGTCTGTATTTAAGCAAAAAATAAAAAATAAAAGCAAAAAGTGATTGGAGACAGAAAGGGGCCTCACCCTCACCAATGCTGTTACCGAATCCATTGTTATTCACCTACAAGAACACAAGAACATGCTGTTTGTTCATAAATTTAAATCTCACATTAAATAATAGTGACCACTTGCTTTGATGAATTGCCATTAGAAATTCAATTAATAAAAGGTTACCTCCCTACAGTAGTGGAAAACAAATACGTTTTGGCTGCAAGAATGACAACTTAGACTTAAAAGCAACAGTTAGGAAAAGAGGAGACACACTGTTTAAAATATGTGTTCTACCTGGGGAAGGGAAACTCAGCAGATGAGTGAATGAATCAGCAGATGAGTGAATGAACTGTGTTTGTTCTGTGGTTTCAGCTGTGTTCAGGTACTCACACCCTTAATTCTCTCCATCCCTCTACTCTCTCCTAATCCCAGCCTCTACTTCCTGTAGGCTGACACATGGACAGGTAATTTTTCTACCATACCCTCCTGCACATGGTATCCTGCCCAAAATCAGGGGAACAAATGACCTCAGAATGAATCTCTGAAACTGTAGCCAAAACAAATCATTCTTCCCTCATGTCTGGTATTTGTCCACAGCCACGAAAGGCTATTACCTTCCTTCACACCTCTTTTCTCGCCTTCCCTCCCTCCCCTTCCTTCCCCCCTAATCCTGCCTTCTTTCCTCTCTCTCCTCTTCTTCCCAGTCCTCCTTCTCTTCTCTGTTTTCCCCAATAGATTCATTTCCCTCGGTTCTGCAAATTACATACTAAAAGCACACCCACCTTAAACATAAACCCATCCATTTTCCATATGGGAGTTAGCTATACAACCAAACCCTAAAGAAGTTGTAGAGCATTTCCACCACCCAGAAAGGCCCCCCAGGGCCCCCCTTTAGTTTATCACTTGAGATGAGTGATGCCTGTTTTCTTATGTGTGCAAATGAAACAGGGTACATTCTTCCACTGAGGTCAGGTGCTTTCTCACACAGCAGTCCAGTTGTGTGATTCATGAGGCCATCTCACATAGCCGTGGCTGAATCTGGATGGCAGCCTTGCAGCCACTGCATCCTACAGCATGATTTGCTTATAAACTGGCTAATGGCTCATGCCATTTCCAGCATGGAGCCATGAGAATAAAACCTCCAAGAATATTCCTGCCTGCATCTGCTGGTGGATGGTAGCATGCATTTTCTGTAGCTCTGCCAGTAGATGCAGACTTGTCAGGTCCTTCAACATCGCTTCAATCAGGACACAAAGTACTTCTGCCTTCCCAACCAATACTTTTTAATCAAGGCTAGAGTGATAAACATCTTGCCACAGAAAGCTGCTAGAAAATGGAAAAGGGGAAACAGGAAACATACAAGGGTTTATTTTTATTATTAATATTGTTTATTTGTTTATTTGTTTTCCATTAGCTGAATGTTTTAAGTTGTCCTGTGTGGCAAAAATGTGAGAGAATGCCTTAGAGAGGGGAAGGAATGAAAAATGTTTAAGCATCAGGCAGCTGTCTGTGACGCTGACCACAGGAAGCTGGCTTGTGGCCTAGTGTTGAGAAGCGGCCCTTAATGAGTAACAAAGTAGGGACCTACTGAACACCACCTGTGCTCCAGGCAGTAACCTAGGTGGTTTACACATCAGGGCAATCAGAGTTCAACACTGCACCCTGACAAACATGGCTCGGATTCATTCCTCCATTGAATGATTCTTGGAAAGTTTGAGTGTTCCTTAGCCTCAGTTTACCTGTCGTGAAATGGACATTGTGACAGTGGCTAGAGCCCAAGATTTTTCTGAGTATTTTACAGCACAATAATGAAAACAATGGAAGCATCCCTTTAATACTGAGGACATGAAAGGTATTTACTAATGGAACTATGCATTGTGCTCCCTGCAAACTGCCTGGGCAGCTACCACCATCATCCTTTTCATGTTCTCCAAAGCCTCATGGGTGGAGGTGTCAGCAAGATGACTCAGGTAGGAAAGGCACTGGCTGCCAAGTTTAACAATCTGAGTTCTGTCCCCAGGCTCACATAGTGGGAGCGAGAAGTGACTCCCACAAAGTCGCTTCTGACCTCCACAACACATACACAAAAATAAGTAGGTCAATCAATAAATAAAATAATGTTTGAGTCTCCATGAGGTGTGTATGGTTATTTGTATTCTGAAAATGAGGAAATAATGTTTTTGAATGTAACTTGTTCAAGTGATTGGTTCCAGGGCTGCTGGGAGACAAGAGTTCTTAGGAACCAGGTGAGACTGGGACTCCTGGTCTCCACACCGTCTCTGAAACTCTTGGCCCTTCCTGATGATCTCTGTGCAAATCCTCACCTCACTATTCATGCTCAGTACCGACCTGCACTGCTTATGTACCACACACCTTGTGAAACAACAAAGAACTGTCCTACCCATCAGTGTAGATACTGGCAGATCCACTCCTGAGTGGCCCCCTCATGTTTGTAGGGTCTCCCAGATCCCCCTCCATGAGCTTTATTCCACAACAGCCACGTAACAGAGCAGAGGAGGCACAGTTTTCTTTGAGGTAGTGAAAATGATCCAGGTCACCAGATTTGATCTCCAGGTTGTGACTTGAGAATAAGAGAGGAGAGGCTTTGTGGATGCCCTCTTGAGATAACCATGACACTATGGACAGTTTCCAGCCAGTGGACACTTTGCTGGAGACCCATGATCAACATCTACTAACATATTCTTCTCTTATGTTGTCAGCATCTGCCAAAATTCTCATCAGACCCTGGAGGCTGAATGGGGAAAAGAAGGACTGTCCAAGGCAAGTAAGAAGACCAGCTTTGAAATCCCCACCCGCATTCTAGGCTGCTCAGAGCATGCTCTGTGAGCAAGGGGCCAGCCCAACCCAGCACCACAGAAAACATGCCACAGACAGCAAACCTAAGCACCAGCCCCAGGGAGAAGAAGCACAGCCAGGAAACTTAGTTCACTCCAAAGAAGGAACCCACTTCAAAATGTCCCCAAAGACAGCAAAGCCATGTTTCCTACCTCAACTTGGCCAGCAGCAGGACTCGCCAAAACCTGCACATTAAAGAAAAAAAGACATTAGTATCGATTCAACAAGAAGGTAATTGCATTAATTGTCTTTCTAAAGGAGCTGGCATCAATAATTTGTTATAACCAGAGGGGACTAGTGGACAGCCCACAAGAGCACGTGCACACACACACACACACACACACACACACACACAGAGAGAGAGAGAGAGAGAGAGAGAGAGAGGCACAAACATATACACAGACACAGAGTTGCACATACATATACACTTTTACTTAGAGAGACACATAGGCATACAAATATACCCACAGAGACACAGACATTCACACACAGGCACACACAAACACACATACAGGTACACACACACACACACACACACACACACACACTTCCACCAAGCACAGCAACAACAGATTCATCTTCAAAGTCCTGTGAAAAGGTGAAGAGGATAATTAGTATTTTCAACACATTATAGCGAGCTTGCCAGGAGGCAAAAGGGGGAAGGCCATGTGCAAAGTCGCACAGTGAGGAGAAAATGAACACCGAGGAGCCAAAGGCATTGATGGCAATTCTTTCTCATTAATGACATTTTTAGGGTATTTTGTTCCTTCAGTTCTGAGCCAGCCTTATGAGAGTTACAGTGCCAGCAACAACTGCAGCCCGTGTGAGCGAAGTGCTTCACAATATTGTGAAGTAAGGAGTCCTGGAAGGCTTTGTGCCAGATTCTTCATGGTGGTTTTCCTCATTTAACCCCCAGAACAACTTTTATTATCCCCTCTTCATAGATGAGAATACCAGGGCTTAGAAAACTTAGGTAACTTTCCCCAAGATCTGGAAGTTATTAAGTGCAGAGAATTAGATTTGATCCCAAGATAAAGGCACCTCAAGCTCCTACCCAGAAGCCCACAGTATACCGGAAGTTCAGATAGAGATGCCAGCCACTGAGTTCACATTAGCTTTAGTGAAAGGATCCTCTTTCTAGGGGTTAGTAGGATTTCGTATGGTGTGTGTGTGTGTGTGTGTGTGTATGCATGCGTGCATGTGCATATATGCAGGTGCCTGTGGATATCAGAAGAGGACATTGGACCCCCTGGAGCTGTAGTTACAGGCAATTTTGGGCTGCCATGTGGGCGCTGGGAATTGAACCTGGGTCTTCTGGAAGAGCAGCAAGTGCTCTTAACCATCTGATGTGGTTGATATATTGTTCACCCCAATAAACCGATCTGGGGTTCAGAGAACAGAACAGTCACTAGATAGACATAAAGGTCAGAAAATGGTGGCACTCACACCTTTAATCCTAGCATTCTGAGGCAGAGATCCATGCAGATCTCTGTGAGTTCAAAGCCACACTAGGAATAGCCAGGCAAGGTGGCACATGCCTTTAATCCCAGGAAGTGATGGCAGGAAGCAGAAAGGTATATAAGGCATGAGGACCAGGAACTAGAGGTCTTTTTAAGCTTTTAGGCTTTTAACAGTTCAACTGAGATCCACTCAGACAAAGACTCAGAAGCTTCCAGTTTGAGGAAAAAAGATCAGCTGAGGAATTGGCAAGGTGAGGTTGGATGTGGCTTGTTCAGTTTCTCTGATCTTTCAGTGTTCACCCCAATACCTGGCTCTGGATTTATTTTTATTAATAAGACCTTTTAAGATTCCTGTTACAATCTGAGCCATCTCTCCAGGTCCATATTGTTTATGTTGTTGTGTGCGTATGAGTATGCACACATATGTTGTATGTCATACATGTGTGATCACATATGTGAGCATGTGTGTGTGTTGAGGTCAAAGAACATTCTTAGCTTCATCCCTCAGGGACCATCCACCTCAGTTTTGGAGACAGGGTCTCTCACTGGGACCGGGGACTTGTCAACCAGGCTGGACCAGATAGACAAAAGGCCCCAGAGATTCATGTGTCTCCACCTCCTCTGAGCTTGAATTATAAGCACATGCCACCATATACAGCATTTTTTAGATGAGTTTTTGGACATCAAATGCGGGTCTTCATGCTCACAGTGAAAGCAGTTTACTGACTTAGTCACTTTCCCACTCCCAGGGATTTGTGTTTTCCAAATCACTTCTACAAACTTTCTGCCTGCAGTTTTCCTGGAGATTTGAGACTGATTCAGACAATCTCAATGACATTTTCCTATCAGAAAATCAGACTACCAGCTGGTCCAGTGCTGCTTGTCTGTCATCCTGACTTATCAGAAAGTTGAGGTGGGAGAATGGCCTTCTTGGGCTACAAAGGGTGTTCAAGAGAAGTCTGGCAACTTAGTGAGCCCAAACCTCAGAATAAAATGCAAAAAGAGGTTGGGGACATATCTCAGTGGTAGAACACTTGCTTAGCACAGGTAAGGCCATGATTTAATCTTTAATATAATGTGGGGATTTAAAATGAAAAGTGCTAATAAGTTCAGTGTACACTGAATTAAATTCTCCAAAATCATACATTGATGTCCTAATCCCTGTGTGAAGATGCTTCCTAAGTGAGACCTTAGGAAATAGCAACACTGTCCATTGAGAGGACATCACAGGGCAAGGTCTCTGGTGCCCATATAATAGAACACCAGAGGCTTTGCTTCCTGTCCACACCCACACCCTTACTAAGAAGGTCATATAGAGACACAGTGAAAAGGCAGCCACCAAAGCTCTTGTGAGGTCTTGAACTTCCAGCCTACAGAACCACAAGACTCCACTGCTGTTCTGAAAGCTACCTGTCTGTGTGTCTTTATAGAAGCTGACTTGGACATTGACTGGTACCAGCTCACAGCTGTGAATCCAGCAAAGGACTTAGGAAGGCATGGTCCCTGACTTAGCGGAGCAGCCCCCCTGCAGCTTACTGTATCTCAGCCCACCCTAGCACTGTCTCACCCACACTCACCAGAAAGGCATCAGCCCTCCCCAGAGCCATCTGCCCCAAATGGGGAGGGGAGCAGACATAGCTCCCGCCCCACAGAGAATCTTTCATGTCTCATTATCTTTCCAAGCCAGAGTCTAGCCTTCAGGCTGACCTCACCCAACAGAGTTCATGAGCCATGGCCGAGCACTTAATAGGCTGGGATCTATGAAAACCACCATGAGGAATAATGGTGGTCACAGACCAGAGCTATGTCATGCCTCCCTCCCTGCACAGCTCTGGAAGAGTCTGGGATGCTGCAACCATTGCCACATCCTTAAAGTACAAGGAGATCCCTCAGCTGCATAGCTTCATGTGTGTGTGTGTGTGTGTGTGTGTGTGTGTGTGTGTGTGTGTGTGTGTGTGCACATACACTTTCACTTTTCCCTGTAGTCCCCTAAGAGCAGTGATGAGGGATAAATTTGACGTTCAACAGCTGCAGGGTTCAGGCAGACTCAGCTCCTCTCTCCACACAAACAAGGGCAGCGCAGTCCTCAGCCGACCCCTCACAAGCATGGGCTACACAGTCCTCAGCCGACTTCTCTTGTTTCCTCTACCTCATCATCTGAGTGTGTTTCCTCACATTTTTGTGCATTTCTTGTTGCAAAATCCCTTGATCAACCCCCCAAAATAGGCAACCCCACTCTTTACAATTATTGCAAACACATACTAATATGGAGAAGCATGCACACAACTCTTGTAACAAAGGCTAACATGATACTATCATGATCAAAACACTATAGAGGCTTAAATATAGGGTTACACACTCAGCTACCTATAAGAGGACAAGATGATGGAAGCCGCTGAACTTAGGGGGAACTAGAGATTTCCTACCCTAACTAAAGCCATTTGCAGCAGCTTTTAACGGGCAACATGTGGCTCCAGACAAATAAAGCCTAAGTACCCTAGAAGTGGCTGTTGAACATCGAGTTTATGATCCAGTGTGCTTCCAACCTGCCACTACGGGGAGCATGTGGCCCAGGACAGCTGTGAATGTGACTTGACACAATTGTAGGCTTAAACATTCTGAAGTCTTCTCTTGGCGACTTCTCTTCATAACACTATTGCATGATTCTCAATTGTAAACTTCACTAGACGATAAAGTTGAATTGCAATGTCAAAATGCTAGGCATGCTTGCAAGCCCAATAAATAGGGATACATCTATACTTTAAAATATGATGCAACATCTCCACATGTGCATGTGTACACACCTACACAGACACATGTGTGCAACACACACAAACACACACACACGCACACACTAAAGGAAAGAAAGGTGCACTACACACTGCACCTTTCACACATAAGACAGGAACAAATACTAACATAGCTAATGTCTATATACATCATCCATTCTCCCCCATACAAGCACAGGTGCCTATCTGAAAGGCGTCTGTAGGGTACACACCAAGATGATGAAACGTTCATCTCTGAAGAACAGCCTGGAACTTTACTGGGACCTGGTGTGTTCCTGAAAGCGATGGAAAATTTTCCTTTCTCAGTTGTTTGAAACTTTCCAACAGAGGATGTATTGGTTTATAAAGCTAAACCAACATTCAAAGCAATAAAGAAAACATAGCCTAACAATATTAGTAAAAGACCTTTTAGGAACCGTGGGGTTTCTTTTTTTAACCAAATAAAAATGACTCTCACCTGATTCTATATAGCGGCTCACGGTACAAAGTAAGGCACAAAGTCAGGGAGATGGTTGGGGCATTGAAATGATTGCTTGCAGTTATGGGGCCCTGGAATCCACATAAAAATGTTAGGTGTGGTGTCATGCACTGACGATCTCCAGACAGGAGAAGTGGAGACAGATGGCTCCCTGGGACTTCCTGGCCATCTTGCCCAGCCTACTTGGAGAATTCTAGAGAAATTAGAGATCTTATCTTAACAAGCAAGGTGGATGACATCAGAAGAATGAGAGCTGAGATTGTCTTCTGGCCTCCACATGCATGGGTACCTGTGCATGCACTCACACACAAAAAAAAATAATGCACATAGTAAAGCAGTACAGAGCTGTGGGGCTTGCAGCCAACTGGGAAGAAGCATGTTTTATTTATGACCTATGATTACACTTTGGATAAACATACTAAGAAACAAATGGCAAAATGTGATAGATCTGGGTATTC